CCAACTCCAACTCTTCAGACAGGGATTGGACTGGACTGTGGGACATAAAGTGATACTCGTGAGGAGTGTGCCTCTTAGCTCAAGTAGATACAAGAGACTAAACAGGCATCTTCTGTCTGGAGGTGAGATGGGAAGGCAGAGAAGGTAAGGAGCTGGTTGAATGGACATAGGGAATCAGGGGTGGAAAGGAGGATTGTACTGTCTCAGTACAGGGAGAGCAATTAGAGTCACATAACAATCTACGTATAAATTTTTGTATGGGGAAAAAAAAAAGCAGAGATAGGCATACAGGGAGTATGTGCATTGGCAGTGGGGAGGACTGCAATTTTAAATTTACTCAGTATCAGCTACAAGATTAAGTTATAAGATCAGAAACTACTTTAATCTAGAGAAGAATTCCAAAAACTTGGTTAAATGAATATGTTGTTTCAACCATAAGTTTATTTGTATAACATGCCTATAAATCCACTCGACCGAAATGGACAAACTCAGTATTTGCCACATTACATCATCTGAAAGTAATACTCCCATTTACTATTCTTTTCTGACAACCAAAGCAGATGAGTCATGCTGATGGGAAAAAAATGCAAAGGCATCAATCTGGGAATCATGCGAGTTGTTCCTATAGCACTTGCCCAGAATGAAGCATTCTAAATCAAACATTTATACTGCTTAGGGATACATTCATATGTAATAAAAAGTGTGAAGACATTCAGGGGAATGAAAAACACCGATTTCAGGACATGGTTATGCCTTGGGAGATAAGGGAGGGAAAAGCAATTGGGACAGGTACACAAGGGCCTCCAGTTGCATTTTTCAAGTCTGACATCTTAAGCTAGATGGTGGGTACATACATGTCTATAGCTTTTTAAAATAATAAAAACTAACCACATCTGAATGTAATATAAAAAAGATGAGTAATAAACCCTTGCCTTAAAAATTGTACCTGATACTTGGTTGTACAAAAAGCATAAAAATATATTGAATATGGAAATCACTGTAATACTAACAACTCATGCAATAGGGTCATACTTACTTGCAAGGAAAAGCAGTTAAGACTGATCTTCATTCCATGGTTTTCCAACTGTGATTTTTTTTACCAGTCACTTTCTGAACCAGTGACATGACCAAATCAATTATTCTTCCCACTCAAAAAGAATACAAACTCCCATAAACATCTGATATATATATACAAATACACACATTCACACGTGTGTGTATCTCCCTCTCTATATATATCATATATGAGGGGTGTGTGTGTGTGTGTGTACCCTATCTCTATTAATACCTTGGACTCATTATCAAAGAACTGTACTTCAAAAAGCATGTTTATCTTTCCAAAAATTATTACAGAATACTATTATTTTCTATTGGTATGTAAATAATTTTTACTAAATATGAGCTTTTTAAGACAGAGTTTCATATTTTTTGGACTTTTTTCCTAGTGAATACAATTTCATTTCAAGGCAGATTTATTCTCATGCCAAAAATAAATTAATCATCATATTTATATTTCTTCCTTGAAACCAGTCATGGTACCACTTGTATTTCCTTATCTTGATGACATTCCTAAGATCAAAGGAGCAAAGGCTAAAGATCCCAGACCCCTTGTGATGTCAACCTTCTATTTTACTAGACATCTAGAAGACAGACAATAAACACTTATTTTTTTGAATTAAGGACTGCAACCTATAGACCATCTGGCATTAAAAAACCCGTTGCTGTAAGTCGATTCCGACTCATAGCAACCCTACAGAAAAGAGCAGAACTGCCTCATAGGGTTTCCAAGGAGTGGCTGGTGGATTTGAACTGTCGACCTTTTTGTTAGCAGCTGAGCTCTTAATTACTGTGCCACCAGGGCTCCAAATGGCATTACATATGCTATTTTTTTTCTTAACGCAGCAGCAGCGAAGCAGTAACAATGACATACACAGAGATAATACATCAGATTTTAAAGACAGTGGGAACCTAATTGGAAATGGGTAGTGGTAACAGGCCCTCTTTCCTCTGGCACACTTACTGACAGCCTCCACTGTCACTGACAGTGGTTCTCAATCACGTCCCGCTACAGACACTGAGCTTCAGACAGTCAGATAGGCGGAAGGATGGAAAGAAATAGAGATAGAAGGAAGTGAGCAGGTATATATATTCTGTAAGGGGACATCTGGGAGTCCAGGGCTCTGTCAGAACTCCTCCAATTATTAGCTTGGTTTAAGTATACAAAACCAAGTCATGGAGGAAATAAAAAACATACAAGGAAGAAACCTTTCAGACTCGGAGTTTATAAACCCCAGTTTCATCTTCTAGTTTAGTAGTCTTGACTAGGCTGAATATGTAACTATGTTATGTGTGAATCTATAAAATACTCAGAAAACTGAAGTCACATTTAAACTGTGCTCCAAACTCAAACTAATCTCAATGCAAACAATGAATTTAAAAATAGTCAGATTTACTCTTTTACATAAACTTCCATTTACATACATCAGGGGAACAGAAGAATATTTTTTTGTCTGAAGTTACAGATCTTTTATATCAAAAATAACTATAGAATGGGATTAATTTTATTCCTTTAAGTGCCAAGGATTCTTTTCCTCCAAATTTACTACTGCTTTCATTTTTCTAAAAAAATAAAGAAGACTAGAAACTTAGAAGTTCACCTAAGAACTACAAAGTTATAGACAAAGATCTCCCTGAATAGTTTCCCTGTTTTTGCAGAAAACAGATTATAAAACAGAAAAAGCCTTGTTCAAAGGAATGAGAAGCTTTGGTTACGAGTGCAAAAGTCAGCCATGTGTACTAATTCTCACTAATAATGAAGCAAGGTGAGCTCCCCCAGAGACTTACAAGTCAATGCCTAGCAATGCTTGGGTGAACTAAGAACTGGAACTGCTCAGGTGATGCAACTTTCCAAGACCCTTTGTATTCCCGATTGGACAGGGGAGGCTGTGGAGCTCACAGTGACTTTCTAAGGTGTGTGACTGGCAGCAGTTAGGGGGAAAACTCTGCCTGCAAAGAGAGATGCTGCTACTACTTAAAACAACTCCACATTGAAAATGGAGTTACCCATCCCTCTACTCAGATCTAGAGGAGCCTGGGTTGTTTGCTACTTACAGGATTGCTTACCTGGAAAATAAGCTCTTACTTCTTAAAGTGTGACTGGGGGAAAAAAAAAAAAAAACCAAAACAGGGGACTTGAAACACCAAGGACCAACTATCTACCGCCTCTGAGATGAAGGATGGCAAACCTCATCTCGCAGATATCTTAAGTAGCTGTAAAGCCCAAGTGGCTCCAATTTTAAGCCTGTGTTTAGATCAGGTTTGAAAAAGGGCTACATCTCTTTAAAATAACTAGGCACCACTTCTAATGCCAACCTGTGCTTTGTGTTTGAAATGGGCAACCACATACACGCAAACAAGACCACCTACAGTAGATAATACATGCCATAACCAATCTCCTTGGCACCCAGGTGCACACGCCGGCAAAATGCTTTCATGAAAAAGAAAATAAACTTTAAGGCACCATGCCATGATTATTGCCAAAATCTTGAGTAGTATCACATAATTAATTTCACATCTTAAATTTTTAAAGAGACATATAATCATGTCTTCACAGCACATTTAAAATCTGAGTTAAAAACAAAACAAGAAAACACCACATCTAGTGAAGCCCCCTGAACTTACACAAGCTGCTATCCTGGGCCCCTTCCAGCAGCCTGAAGGTCGGGGCTAGATACAGCCAATGAATATATCCACTTAACAATTAGAAAATGTAGTTACTCAAATGCACACTATAGAGTTGTTTAAAATGAATATTTATTATCAGGAAAAGCAGTTAGTGCAGCTTCTAATACTTCTCTAGATTATTATTGTGTGCCCTTTTTATTTAGGACATTAAAGTCTCTCCTATTCCATCCTGGAAGCTCATAAAGTTACAGAACAAGGGGATCCTACCTGGCCCTCTATTACAGGTCAGTGATCAAACAAAAGGAGAGTTAGCCAGTAGCCAGATTTGGTCCATCTCCTAAGAACTGCCAGAAGCTAGGACTTCTTAGCTCCTGCTACATCCAAGGACCTGCCATTTAATTTTGGAGTGGACAATAAGCCCTTTCCACATACACATTTAGTATTACTAGGTGTTTGTCCGACTTCTAAACTCACTGATTTTCAGGAGAAAAGAAAATCTTTTATGAATATCATTTCTGCACAGAACAAGCTTAATTTTAAAAGTGTGACCTCATCTTTCTTGTAAGAAAAGAAATATACGTTTAAATGGAAATATTCCAATATTGTATTGCCCTAGTGATCAAAGCCCATTTATGTAGCCAATCTTATCTTTAAATAGCACCAGTCTTTGTATAAGAGCTTAATTTACCAAAGTATTTACATTCACATGAACAAACTGGTACGTGAAATAAAAAGAGACACAATGTTTTGTGGAACTTGAGAACAAGATGCAGATTGTACATCCAAATAAAGAAAACGATCATTCCAAGTCTTTTCGACAATGCAGAGTGCACCAAGCCAGTTATTCCCCAGCACCCTTCTCCCAGAAGCACTGGGAAGCTTGAACAGTTGCTGCCACTTGTAAAGTAACGCAAAGCAGAGAGCTATGGCTGCTGACTGCAAATGACAAATTTTAATGCCCAACCCCGCAGGAGGGTGCCACAAGGAAAAAATGCACTAAAAATTAATTTTAGAAAAGTTAGCAAACATTGTTCAAAGGCCAAACACTTCTGCCACAAATGACTTCCAGTGCAGAACCAACCACAAGCAATTGTGAATTTGATAGGCATGACTTAACAGGCAATAAGATCTGAAACATTTACCCTTACATCTCAGGAATGGTTCACCTGTCTAGGAATAGCCGAGATGCCCTAGTAGACGCTGCCTTTGTACAGGATCTATGGTTAAACAGAAGCCTTAGTCCACACATTTACCAGGGTAGTGATATGTAGGTGAAACAAGTCTTTTCAATGTCGAGATCTGCAAAAGGTACTTACACAGCCTCCAGCAAGAATTTCTGCCGCAAGTGGGACCGAACCATCTTTGTGCATAAATTTATCCCTCACAAAATCATTCACCTGGAAGAAAAATATTTATAGAAGCTGATGAAAAACATAAAAAAGTCATTAAACATACATAAATATACATTTGTAAATATGTTATCTTTTTTTTGCCAGTCTACTGGAGTAACCATATACTGCATAAATTAACAGATTTTAAAATGTGAGTTTGAGAAGTGCTTTTAACAGCATACATGCAGTTTTTAAAAGATAAACTATATGCATGTATACATGCATTTCTGATATTTCAGGAAGAAAAATTAAAATTCAAATATGTCCTGCAGTAATAATAGCTAAGAATAAAGATATTGACAACAGACTAAAAGCAAAAGTTTAATGTTAAAAAGTGTTTTATAAGGTTTGATTAAAAATCACTTTCAAGTCTTCTAATAAGACAATTGAAAACAGCACGCACTCATCATTGTGACCAATTTGGCTAAGCAAATTTTTTAGCTTAAGTAGAAATTTAGTATCTAAAAACTTCTCAAGGATTCTCAAAGAATGTCAATAGCATTAATTAAGTCTAAAATCCTCAAAATGGTATGTGCTACAAGCAATTTTAAAGAACAATCTGATGTTTTCAGCAGATATAGGCCAGATAAGATTAGGTGTTCCACAGTCCAACAATAAGATGGAAGAAGAAAAATTACAGGCACCAAGACTACAAGGCCCAAAGTAAAACTGGAGTTTAACGTTCTGGGACTTCATGGTGTCAATTATTTAAATGCAATATCTATCCATTCCATAAACACTTACTGAATATCTACCAACTGTCAGACATGAGCCAGGCACTGAGATAACAACAAAAAAGATGCTGTCCATGGACTACCTGATGAAGGAACAAGCTCAACCTGAATGAAACCCGTCACAGCTGCTTTGGGAAACGCTTACAGAAAACACCTTTAACATGAATTCCAGTAGGTAAATCGCATGTGTGATTGGAAGAGAACATGCTTTGGAGTGAAAAAAAAAAAAAGTGATTTTGAATTCTAGCTCTCCCATTCACAAACTGTGTGAACGTGAGTGAGTTACTTAAGCCCCATGAGCTTCAGTTTCCTGATCTGCAAACTATGGCTCAAACTTTGCTTGAAATTAAAGACCAGCACACAGTAGGTATTTAAGAAACTTTAGCTGCTGCTGCTACTACTACTACTATTACTATGATGATGATGATGATGACTACCACCAAAAGTCTTGTTCAAGTTTATTATCAAATCTGTGGACATTCAGTGTTAAACAGGGAATAACGGAAAGCTGTGTGTGGTAAGCACTCCTGCGCTTACATGTTTAGTTAGCACTCCTGAGGAAACACAAACCTGCTGTTTCATACAAGAATGCCTGCTAGATTCTTGATTATGTACAAACTTCCTAAATGAGAAGTACCAACTCAAAAGACTTACTGTAAGTTTTATGGCCTTCTCTGGGGCGACTCCCAATAACTGTGGCAACAGACCTAAAAAACAACAAAAAGCAGAAGTATATTAAATAAATTAGCATTAATGAGATAAATCAACAGCTGTACAGAGGGGATAACCACCTAAAAACCGGGGCAATCTTGGCAGCAATTTTCTGCTATTACCTTTAATGAGAATACTTGAAATGGAATGTTTAAGTACTAACTTCTAACAGTCAAATCAGGCCCAAGAAAATTCCCTCTCACATCCTGGATCATTTGCACTTGGAGTAAATCTACAGTATTAGCAATATAGGAAATTTCATTTTTCCAAGAGAAGTTTACTCCTTTCCCTCCTGCCTCCTAAATCATGGACTTTACTGAATATATTATTTTTTCCTAACACTTCTCATCCAAAACACGTGCCCACAGTTCAGCCATTCATTCTCTTAACAACTACTACTTGGTGATGACCACAAGGCAAACAAGGTCCTTGCTCTCAGGTCTCAGGTGGGAGTAAGGGAGAGGACTTTCTGAGGACGTGACAATTGGGAAACATGCATTCTGGGAAGGGGGAACAGCTAGGCAAAGTAGGAACAAGGCTGGTATGTTCAAAGATGAGGGTGAACATCAGTAAGCCTCAAATGCAGCAGGCATGGGGGAGGGCAGCCTGCGGTGGGAGGGGCATACATGCCATAGGCATACTGTAGGCCAGGATCCTGGGCTTGATTTATTCTTAGATGAGAAGTAATTAGAGGGTTTTAAGTAGGAGAGTGGGGTGCTGATTCATATTTTAAAAAGAGAACGGCAGCTGCTGTGTGGAAAAATAAGACAGGACATACTAGGGTGTTTGTGTGTGTGTGTGTGTGTGTGTGTGTGTGTGTGTGTGTGTGTCTATCTGTGTGTCTGTCTGTCTCAGGAGGGGAGGCTGTGAAAGAAAAACTGGGTTTGGCTGCCACTGCTAAGTCTTTAGCTTGAACAACTAACTGGAGGAGACCAGCAAGGCTGTGGAAAGTAACAGGTTTGGGGTGAAAAGTGAAGGCTCTGTTTTAGAAACATTAGGTTAAGTGAGAATTAAGATTCAGAGCACAAAGGGAAGGTGTGACCTCTGGCAGGAAAGAACCTTTTAGGAAAGGCAGTTAGAATAGTAGGGGGCCTACATAACTGGACTAAAAAATGTTACCATTTTCATTAGCTCTTTCTAAGAAATGAACAGAAAAAAAGAAGAAAAAAAAAGCCTTTTCTTGGAAACACACTAAGCTAACCCTACAGATCAGAATACACTGCACCCTGTGTCATCCTGCTGTCCTGGAGAGGGGCATGGGGCAGTTAAGCACAATTTTCTAATTCATCTATACAGGAGGTCCACTCACACACAGCTCCTTCTGAGCAGACAGCCCTACCCTATCTTCTTCCTAAAGGAGCAGCCCAAGGCTAAAAGTCACTAGCTCAAAGGATATATCCAGCCTGCGGATGTGTTTTATTGGGTCGTTTGAAACAAGATTTCAAACATAATTTGAGCTTCTCATAAAAATAAATAGATCAACTGACTGCTCAATCTGGCAGTCCCAGGCCTGCTTCTGACATCACAGCAATCTGATCCAGTTGGATGAGATTCCTCCCTTTAGACAGACCTATGGGTATCCAATTCACCAAGGTCCCCACCATGCCCTACTGCCTGCACCTCAATGAGGACATGTGCTAGTTGTCATTCATCATTTCTCTTGCTCTGTTGTTATCCCCACGATAGACACTTATTAACTCTGTGTCCCTTGCTCTACAACAGGGAAGACTAAATAGACCAAGACAGTTTCGTGCTTTAGGAAAAATGGCAGAAAGCCCCTTTCATTGTGTAACTAAATGATGACGATGATGACGCTAATGAAAAATTTCTTTAAAAACAGCCAGAATTCATTAATTTGCCCTAAGTTACTAAGATGATTAGTGTTGGGACTATCGTTCAAACCTAAGCTATCTCTGTTTTTACACACCATTCAACTCTGTTGTGTGCTTAATATGCAACCATGTCTGCATCTCACTGCCAGCCTCATTCGTTCATTTACATAACCTGCCTGGACCGTATAAGCATTTGAGCTTGCAGGCTCTTCTTTAGGCAGCCATATGTTCTAAGCTTCCCTCATTCCCAGGGCTACAGGTGATTAGACAAGGAATAGATACCTACAAAACGAGTAGCCAATGAGTTCAGCAACCTAGGCCGTACCATAAGAGGAGATACCCAATCAGAGCCCTTCTCTCAGGAGCATGACTGAGGCAGCCCTTAGAGACAATGGAGCCAGTTAGTACAGAGGCACAAACTTAGGAGATGTCTGAGCGGAGCTGGGAAAGCAGCTACCTGAAGCCATGTATGTGCAATGCCATGAGGAAGTAGAAACCAAAAACTGGCAAAGGCAGTGAGTCGGTGGAGAAAAGAGAATGCAGAGCAAAAGAAACGAAGACATCAAAGAGTGCAAACATTCAGTGCACGAAAGATGCAGATAGGAGAGCCAGACTTGACCACTTCCCAGTTCCCGAGGTCACGCTTCAATGGAACTCTCAATCTCGGATGCCCTTCCTTCTCTTAAGCAAGAATTCTTACAAAAAAAATCCCCCTGTACACTCACAAGCTTGAGTGGGGTCTGCTCTTTACAATCCAAATGAGCTGAAGCAATATACGAGGGAAAATGGGAACATGGAACCACGTGGGCAAAGCAGCTGCTCTTATTCAAAGCAAGCATTCTCTCCCTAAACTACACCCATGAGGTTCAGTCGTACAACTCTTGCCCTCCATTCCAGAGACCTGAGTTCAATTCCCAGCCAATGCACCTCAAGGGTAGCCACCACCTGTCTGTCAGTGGGGGCTTGTGTGTTGCTATGATGCTCAATAGGTTTCAGTGGAGCTTCGAGACTAAGATGGACTAGGAAGAAATGCCTGGTTATCTACTTCCAAAAATCAGCCAATGAAAATCCTATGGATCACAATGGTCCGATCTACAACTGATCACGGGGATGGTGCACGGCTGGGTAGCGTTTTTTTTGTTGTGCACATGGTCACCACCACTCGAGGGCCAACTTCATGGCAGCTAACAACAACAAACTATATTCACTTTTTAAATCTTTTAATAAGATACCTATAATAAGAGAAAAAAGGGTTTATTATTACTTTATGAAAGTACAACATTAATTTCCACTAGTACAATGTGAGAATAAGATGTTTAAACTACATCCTAACATTTGAAATTTCTATTTTACTCTCTGCATTCAGATCAAGTACCAAAATGTTTAGTTAAATATTTACTTGCTGGATATATTTTTCTCATCATTAAATTGTAGACCAAAACTGTGGATCGGTTGAAAGTAACGCGATTTAAATGATGATCTCTTGTCTCCATAAGTACCCCGTGACAGTCTTTTTAAATGACTAATAAAGAACAGCATGGAGTCAGATGACTACAGTGTCAGATACAATCACTTCAGCCAGCACTTCAAGCTACCGAGCTCTGTCTTTCTCACAATAAATTTAGTAATGTAGTCAAAAGCAAAACCAAACCAAAACAACCACTACCACAACAACAACAACAAAAATCCCACTATATTTAAGACTAAAATTGAGGTAACTAATATTTATTTGTTCAGCAAACATTTCCCAAATGCCCTCTGTGTGCCTGGTACTGGAGGAGCCAGGATGCACACAAGATCTGTGCCTTTCCGTTGAAAAATTCTCACTTTGGAGGGAAAGGAAGGGAAGGAAACTCTAGGTGTCTCCGTGTGCCAGAAAGGGGACAAACCACCTACAAAGAAGAGTTCTGAGTGACACAGTCTAGGGCCTTGAAGTGTTACAGGAACAGAGTGGAGGGAACCGTAACTCTGCCTGCAGGAGAAGGACAAGCATCAAAGAAGAGGTATTTGAGCTGGGGCTTTAGGGGTAAGCAGGGGTTCACCACAGAGGAGATGTGAGTAGAATGGAGGGCAAGGAGGTCCAGGCAGAGGGAATAGTGTGCACAAAGACTCCAAAATCTCAAGATCATGGTATATTTGGGGTTGGGAGCAAGACTATTGGAGGCTGTGGTCAGATGATAGAAGACCTTACAATAAATAATAATAATGATTGTGATAATAACAACAGTCAATATTTGGAGACACTATGTGCCCTGCCAGGCACTATTCTATGTGTTTTACATGAACTAACACATTTATCCATACAATAACCTTATTCAGTGGATGTTCTCTTCATCTCCATGAGCAGATGAAGGGACTGAGGTGACTTTATGGAATCTGCCCAAGGTCACTCAGCTGGTAGATGAGGGAGTGAGGTTCATCCCAGAAGGCCAAGCTCCAGAGTCTGTGCTCTAACCTGGAGCACCGCATTGTTTCTCCTGTAGGCCACCCTAGGGGGCTTGGTCTAAATCCTGTAACTCATGGGGTCCTTTTTAAAGAAAGTGGTGAGATCAACTGTGTGCCTTCATAAAGTAAAAACTTCTACAGGCAGGAGGACAGATGGCAAAGGCAGAGACCCAAGGCAAGGAGAGCAATCATGAGGTTAAAGAAATATAATACGACGCCCTGAGTTTCACAATACTCAATGAATACATTCAACTCAGCAAGAATATAGACAAACTGCAAATCGATTCCTTAGACCTAGGCCAGATATTGGTACTCAGGGTGGTGCTGGGTAAGTACTATTCTTTTGGTGACTACCCTGGCTAAAGGAAAATGAAGGTGTCTGTTGATTGTAATCTGAAGCCCACTACAGATGTCTGCTTTGACACCATTAGTCTTGGGTAAATGCTCTTTGAGAGGGGTCATGATCTGCGGGACAATGCAAAGTCACAGAGGTGGGGATCCTCATAACCTCCCTTCTACCTTGACCTCAGAGGGAGGAGAGGTAACATGGCTTAATAATACCTAAAAACAGCCAATTTGATTAAGGCACTTCATTGTGATCACATCTGAGTTTAAAGTATGTATATGTTCGACATCTGGGTAACTCAGTAGAAAAATTAGGGCTCTAATATAAAATGTTTTTGTTGGGTCCTGGAAATTCATTTTAACCATTAGAAACA